ATCAACCTTCACAAAGAATTAAGCGTGCCATAAAAAGGACCAGGAGCGAGGGAAAAAGAGTGGGCGTATGATAATTGCATGCCTCAAACTAAAAGCAAGCAAAAGGAAATAGAACAGTGGATGATATTGAAAGAATAGAATAGAATAGAATAGAATAGAATAGAATAGAATAGAATAGAATAGAATAGAATAGAATAGAATTTGGACAACAGAAAAATAAATATCATGATTTATTTAGAACTCCAATGGTTAGAGAGCAACAAAAGAAAAATAGATGACTACAAGTTACACAAGTACAGTCATTTCACCTTGATAGGTGTCACTGTAGATGCTACACCAGTGAATGAACAGGAAAGCACTGCAGTGACTTAAAAGATATTTACGCAGGTTTGCAAGGGAGAAATTCTATGACAGCTAACCCCAAATCCTTCCAATTTTACTATATTCCTTTTATTCCACCCTACTTATTTCATATGTATACTGTATGTACACATATACATACACACACACACACACACACACACACACATTCGTAGATTTTCACGGGTACAGGTATGCAGGTCTTGGTGTATTCTGGTCTTTTCCTGTGAAAAATTGAGAGTATCTTGGCGACGTTTCGACGAGGTCCCACTCGTCATCTTCAGGCTGGGGTCTTCGGCTTCATGCTTGTGCGAGCAAAGTGTGATCGGAGCTGCCGTCTCTCTATAAATATTGGTGGGGGTGTGTGGAGTGCTGGCTTAGTTGCTGTAGGTGGGTTGGTTGACTGTGGTGGGGTTATTGTTTGCGGATTGTTCAGCTGTTTCGTAGCATCCTGAGTAGTTGAGGTGCTGGCTGTGTGCCCATTAATCTTTTGTGTTACAATGACCTGGGTAATGGATTGCGTGATTACATCCTGAGATCTAGTGTAGTGATATCCTGAGTTTTGTGTTGCAACATCCTGGGTGGGTTGGCTGTGTTGTAACCTCCTGAGCTTTAGTGTTGTAACCTCCTGAGTTCTGTGATGTGATGTCCAGAGCAGAAGGCTGTGATGTAGCATACCGGGCTTTGGTTTGGCTCCGAGTTTGCGGTCTAGCTCTGTGTTCATGTTGTGTGTCCATTTGCTTTGTGTGGGGGTCGGAGGGAGGTGCAGCAGCTGGTGATGTCATCGTGGTTTCCTAGCCATGAAAACTGACACCGGACCCAGAACAACACAGTACGCCACCACCATTCACCCTCACCAGACCCAAACCCAAGCCCAAACCCATCCCTCAGACGAAATGCAACCACCATCCAGAAGCCAAATCACTGATTAAGAATCAACTCTCAAAAATTGCTAATTTTGATAATCAGATTAAAAATGATTCTGGAATGTCTCATTTTGCAAGATACATGGATCCCTGTATCTTCTTAATATTACAGAAAAAAATGTCAAAAGAAAAAGGCAATCATCCATTTTTGCTAAATGTTAGCCCCTGAGTCCCATCCAGCAAGTGATGAAGGATTCAGGGAATTGTGACTGGGCAACCTTCCACTTTATGACTTTCAATATTTTGTGTACAGGATTTTTCTCTCCTTATGTGTATGCATGCATTCATACATATATCACAGAAAGGACACATTTAATATTCTATATACATGCTACACACAGGTAGGTTGGTATTTCTACAAGTTGCCTATTCCAGACCTTCAGTTGGTATGGAATTCACTTCATCATCTCAGTGATGCATTTAGATTCATTGCAGATATGCAGTGAATAGGTGTACAAAAGCTGACACAATGATCCAATTATTTCAACCACGCATACATTTGTTAGCCATATGGAGACATTACCAGGAAGAAAAAAAAGCAGTATGAATCACCGAAGAAGCAGGAGAAGAACAGGGGCACTCCTGAACAAGGTAAGGTAAAGAATGTAAAGTAGATAAAGTAGGGGGAAAAAAGAAGAAGAAAAGAATGTTATGAGTTAATTCCTGAGAAAAAACAGTCAGGCTGAACTAATGAACAGCAGAGAAATGTGCTTCTTTTCAGTTAAGGTCCAAAGCACTTCTGAATCATTTCTGAAACTGGCATCAGCCAACAAAATACTGTCTTGTGACAGCCCGGCAAGGAGAAGCATCTTTCTCTGAGTTTTCTTGCTCTTGGGAGTGGAACTATTATAACATGAGTCTCCAATCTCAAACAGAGGATTGAAGAGAATAAAGTGCTAGACAATATCAAAACCACTGAGAAATCAAGCAGGACCAAGAGTATTAAATTATTAAGCTACAAGAAGTCACCTAACAGATTGACCCAAGCGGGCTTTTCTAAAGTACCCATTCCGGCGCTAGAATGGACAGGTAACTGTTTCTGGAGCGATAACCTTCTATTAATCCCCCACTTACCTTCAAATGATCTTGGGGTGCTTTGCTCCACACTTTTTCCTATTTTTCCATCTGAAGTTCCCTTGTCCACTCGGGCTAGAACAGAGATCCCCAACCTTTTGAGTACCAGGGACCGGTTCCATGGAGAGAGGTTTTTCCGCGGCCTGGAGGGTGCGTGGTTTTGTGTGCTGCCTGCATCCTGTGGATGGGGCTTTGCTTATTTGTGCGGACCGGTTGCTGGCATACTGTGGCCCGGTACTGGACCGCAGACCGGGGGTTGGGGACCCCTGAGCTACAGAACTTTATTACTGGTTTCCCATAGCAGCTCATTGGCTACTTTACGGAGGAGATCATGAACATAATAAGCCAAACTAATGTTTGTCATGCATCCTTGTAGTTTATATACATCCCTTCATAATAAATAAATACATCCTCTAATAATATCATAGTCAACACAAACATTACTTTCACAAGCATTTTTAGCAATAGCAATAGCATTTAGACTTGTATCCTGCCCCATGTTTGCAGTCAATATATGTCCATTTATGATATCAATATAATCTTGCATTTATTTGAGTGTGTTACATAGCAGTTTAATTCTATTCCAATGAAAAAAAATAATTGATAAGAATAAATTTGTTTGTTTGTTTTCCAATTTCTAAACTGCCCATCTCCTTCAGAGAGGAGTTCTTCCCTTCTACTTTGGTAAAATTTATGCTCAGTTAATACATTAATTGAACTCTCATAATATTGGACAGAATACAAAGGGGACTAGCAAATTGGTATATATAGTAAACCAATAAAAATGAAGCAATTCTATAAAGTGAATATTGAAACTCAGATTTATGAGGCTGTTTTTCTTGAATATCTGTTTAAGCACGATAAAATAATATAGTCAAGCTTTGCTTTAAATGACAGACTTCCAAGGGGTTGCTATAATTAATAACCCAGATCTAAAATGTTTAGTAATCTAGTATAGAGCATATGGCATCATTGTATTTTCAATACTATTTTCAGCTACCATTAATCATATCTCTCTTCTTTCTGTGAAAGAATGCTTCTGCATGCCACATTAAATGTGAATAAACAGATGTTGTACTGAAAATCTAATATATGGAAATGTATATATATTTAAAATTAATGACCAAAATGCCACTAATTATTTCAATAATAGCAATAATTAGTAACATCAAGGACATTCTCATATGCAATTTACTTCTCCCCATTTGTGTTTACATGCCATATTTAAATTTTTCTTGAATTCTTTGCTTCTTTGGTGGTAGAAGTTTTTTTTTTAGTGGGGAAGTAGAATAAGTAACATCTACTTTTATTTGACGTTGAATCTTCTAAGAAAATGGTGCTCATATTATAATCAGCAGTTTTGTCCCTGATTACATTTTATTCTTTGAAAAAAGAAATTCCTAAAATTTATTTTAGAAATAAGCTTAAAAAAACATTTTTTAAAATATTCAATATTCCAGGATATTGCTAATTCTTTTCAATCTGTCAATTCTTCATAATTCTTTTTATTTATATCATTTAGTGATAAGCATTTTCTCAATGGACAAACATGTTTCTGTTTAAAAATCTCAAATATACTGATGATACCAATATGGTAAATGTAAGCAAGGAAAATGTAAGGGTTGTTTTGTTGAAGATACAAAAGATTGCAAAAGCCATTTAGGCTGCTCAGTATTAAAAAAAAGCACATGTGTGTGCGCACACACACACACATAACCTAACAATTTATGGCAAATTGATGGAGAAGTCAAAACAGTAACAACCTTTTTCTTTGTAAGCTCAAAAATTAACTGATATTGGAGAAAATTGTTGAAGATTCCTTGGACTACATGGGCCGGGGGGGAAAACTGAATACTGGGTGAAATAAAACCAGATTTCTCATTGGAATATACAATATTTTATATACATAATAATTGGAAAATACTGTAATACTTGGAAAATGGAAGGCAATAAAAGAGAGAGGCTGACAGAAGGCAGAATGGTGAAATTTCTGGTGAAATTAGATCCACTAGCTCACAAAGAGCAAGAAATGAGTGAAAAAAGGAACAAAACAAAATGGTTTGATTCCATTTCATGAGATATGAATCCTTTTGTTTGCAACATAGTTTAATGTCCAAAATCTTGTTCAGGCCAAAACACAAGCTACACTGCAATGTGATTTCCAATGAAAAAAAGACAGGCATGCCTTTTTTAATCTCAATCATTTCTTAAAGAAGTTCTCTTCAAAACATTAATTCACCAGTGCTTCTTTTCTATATTAGTCTAGATTTGCAGGTATTTAAGATACTTATGTAAGGGTTGGACTTAATAATCTTGGCACTCAATTTTATTCAAAATAGCCACACAAAGGCTATGGTTACTGTTAACTATAACGATTACTATTCATTTGTAATCCTAAGTATTGGTAATATGAAAGAATTATCATTTCTTTCAGCAGATTTCATTTAGGATCCACGTGTATTTGAATAAATATATTCCTTAATAGAAATTTTGTTGTTTTTCATTAAATCTGTGTAGAAAATGTTGACACTGAAATATATAGTCTCACACAATACTGTATATTACAAACACTGATAACTTTTAAAAAATTAATTTTAAAAATGAACATGATGTACTCAAGTATTTAAAGCCAGGCATTTGTATGATAGTTAGCAGTATATTGAAGTATTTAATGCAACATAGCAACCTAAATTGACCATAACATCTGCAATAATAATCACATCTGAAGGTTTGTAAATTTCTTGTCTTCTTTACATTTATTGGTAATGTTAATTCTTATATCTTATCCAGACAACTAATTACAAATCAGGGATTAATATACAGAACTCAAAAGCTATAATAAAAAGAGATGACTAATGTCTGGCATATGTCAATACAGTACATTGCATATACCTCCTAGTTGATGGGATGGGATAATAATATGTTGATCAGATTTGGGTAAAAGTAACATTCTTTTCTCCACACTCTATTTTTAGGGGAAATGGAAAACATCCCATGAAGTCATCAGTAAATGGATGTTGGGCAGAAAGATAAAAAAAAGTAGACTTTCTTGTATACAGAAGTGGAAAAGTTAGATTAAATCAAGGGCAAATGGGAGATATCTCAGTTGTTTGACCTACAGAAGATCAGGAGAGATTACTGAAATTTGGAAGGTAAGTATCTTTTACATCTTATATAAATTTCCACAATGCATAGCCATCTTCTTAGGCAAGAAGATTGATAAATTCATTAGATGAGCTGATAAACATACTGAGCCATTAAATCAGTTCACCTCATGATAAAATCTGATAAACACTTGATTAAGGAGTTGGGGGAAGAGTAGAAATGATTTAAGCAGTCTATAGAAAAATCTAAGTTCACATACCACACTAAATAAATGCCTTCAGAACAATGCAGCAATCCACTAGTAACAAATTCTGACAAATGATAGTGAATTCAGGTAATAAAGCCTGCCTGAATGAGAACAAGTCTTTGGACACTTAAAATTCTTGACTCACATCTGCACTGCTGCACAATTGCATTAAGCATAATGGATTCCCTGCCTTCAGGCACAGTTTTATTGTTTAGAATTTCTCTTGACATGTCAAAGGAAAACAAAGCAATTTAATTCTACATTCTAACCTTTTGCAAAGATATTTGAATACAAGGAATTATATGATGCCAATAATGTTTGTTTACATGATTCAGTCAGGGTTTTGGTTACTATTTTAAATACGTTGATGGGCATATTTTAAGTACCGGTAGTTTCCTATCTAGAAATTCCGTAAAGCAGGCACCATATGTGAAAGTATTCCATCTATGCATAAATTCATATCTGTCCTATCTCTGTCCATCTGTTGTCTGTCTGTCTTTGTAAGGATCATACATTATCATAATATAAACTGGGAACTTTACAGGCAGAGACTGAGTAGGCCAATTTATGGAAATAAGATGCACTGACCAGTGCTGGAACCAATAAGGGTATGCTCTATGCTGTAGAAAATATTTTGTTTCAAAACTAGACTTACATGTCCATCACTTCCTTGCTGAAAAGTGGTAGTTGACATTTTTTAATAAGCTGACCAAGATTTTTCTTATTTTCTCTTGCTTTTTAAAACCAGAAAATGTTAATTATGGAGGAGAAACTGATTTGAATATTGAACTATGGTGTTGTCAACAACTGCATTTCAAAGAGTGAGAAATGCTATAATCATGTGAAGGAATACTTTTAACTTGTCTATTACAGAAATAATTTACTTTTGTCCTTCTCATATAGTATTGCATTCCTGCTCTGTTGACCAAAAACAACAGAGTCACATGCATAGATCACCTTCTGCATATTCTGATTTAAGCTGCACATAGCTGAATGTTATAATTAAGCTGAAGTATATATCAGTGTATATCAGTTGATTTGAAATTGTCCATAATAGAACCTGTGCTAGTTCATTTTCAGAAAAGAATCACTCTCTGATGTTGGAGTTTTCAAATAATAATCATCTCATTTGATCAAGCTAACTTCAGTCCACTGCTACAGTAGCTATATTGAAAACATGAATGTAGTAGGTTCCTTCTCAGAGTAGAAAGGGGTCATTTTTTTCTTCCGACAATTAGTTATACAGTATATACCACACAAAAGTGTCACCATAGTTTTTAGTAGAGGACCTAGAAAAAGACCCTGGTTCAGTAACTGAGATCTTGAATTTAAAAGATAAGAAAATGGTAAATGATGAGAAAGTCCCCAGCCTAAAATCTGGAAAGCTACTACTAGTAACAAACTACTAATTACTACTACTAGTACTACAAACTGACCACAATAGGCTTATATATAGGAAACAACACTTTAAATGATAGAGATGCTAGCACATCTGAAGAGTATTTTTTCCTTACATAGAATGGCTGCTAGATAGTTGCATACAGTATTTACAAAATGACTGCTATATTGGACTTAGCCAATTACAAAAGTTTCATTTACTGAAAAACAAAATGGGTAATTACAGCTCAAAAAACATTCCAACAACTAACTAGGAAATACATAGTGATTGCTATTCACTGCTTACTTAAATAAACTGTAGTAATTCAGAGCATTTTGTGCACTATCATAAACAGATTAGTAAAGTAATAGAGCTAATAAATGTTATAAATCAAGCATGTTGCATGTCCACTATCAATATTTTACTTGCAGTGATTTCATTTTTTTGTAACTGAATGTAAATTGAATGTAATTTTAGTCTTCATAAGAATATAACAAATTAGACAATCATGGCATAATAGTATTTTTTTAAAAAAAATAATCATAATAAGCCGATCATTTGTTAATTTATCAGCCTGGATTGCTTTCCAGGTCTTGATGATATACATTTTCCATTTGTATTAGAGATACTGTATGTACTTATTACCTTGTAATGTTTTTCTAGTCTCTTAATTCCAGTAATTTCACAAGAATTTACAAATCTAAATATTGAACTGTGAATTCAAAAATATTCTTCAAGATACATTTCTTAACAATAACATGAATAAAAATGACATATTAAAAATATTTACTTTCAGTTTAAGGGTAGAATGTGATAGCATTATTTGTTACATTGCAGAAAGCAGTCTGTATTGCTGGCGTCTCTGTCTTGCTCGCTGTCTGAGCCGTCGAAGTGAGAGGCTCTTTGGCTGCTTTCCAAATTTCTCCATGATCTCTTTGATTCGGGCCAAGTTAGTTTTGCTGATTGTGAAGTGACATTGGGTTGCACCCATGTCATATCCTACGGCACAATTTTTCATGGATGTAGTGTAACCCTCTGCTTTTACACTGACCACATATTCTCCTGGATTTAGAAGCCGCCAATAATCTCCATTGTTTGCTATTGAGGATTCAAAGTAGAATAAAATATTGAAACACATTTGCCTTCAGTACCATCCTGTTTTTTTTAAAAAAAAACCCTAAAGGCTTTTGCTCAAATATTTGATTATTGCCCTGGGATTGCTACTAAGGACTGTTGTAGGAATTAATTATTTCTCAGGCTGGGTTGCTTTTAATTCTGGAAATATTTCACCAACCTTTTAGTGTGCAGCACAATCATATATATTGAGTTAACTTTATTAAACTATATGTTTCATATAATCCTAGTGGGATTATATGAAAGGCTTTTAGAAGTCATTTTGTATGACAGAAGGAACAGTGGGATTTTTGGATGCCTTCTTAATAATCCATCTATTTGACAATGCACAATGACAATGTGAATTGTCTGAGGCATTGATCTCTATGTTCCATGTTCTGTTTCTTCTTGCTAAACTAATCAGAGCCTAGACTGAGCTGAACAGAAATATATATTTAAATCCATTTTATTTACCCTTTACTATCAAAGATACTTCAATTTCAGTGATAGGAAATCAATATCTAGATAGTAAGGCAGACTTCATGATTACTCTTTTTTTTTAAAAAAAAATGACAGTCCAAAATTCTGTGTCTAGAAAAATCCTAAATCAATGACCTGCACAGTGAACAAAATGATTCATTCTGCATATTTGCATGGTTCATTTTTGTCTGTTGGTCATGAAGGAAAGGGAAGATAAGACACCAACTCAGATTATAAGCAGAGGCAGGTCTAAGACAACTCACCCTGGCCAATTCACCCCATCTGTCTCGCCACAGTCAACTCACCCCAGCCAACTCGTCATTGGACAATTAAATGCAGGATAACTCAAACGAGGGACAAGTGAATTGCAGTGGGCCTTGTCTTGCTTTAGGTTTGAACTTTCTCAGGTTAGAAGTCCTCGAGGCTGGGGTGAGCTAGTCCCTAGTCCCTGTTATCCTTCTCTTGAGTTATCCAAATTGTTCTGCAGCAAGTTGGCCACAGTGAGTCATCTGGGGTGAATCATCTGGAGAGAATTGTCCCATTCCGTGCAGAAGCAATGGAATTTGATTATCTTTGCCTTTTCCAGTGGAGCTATCTAGTTGGACTAGAAGGTTTTAGGGTGACAAATTATATATAGATGACATCTTAGGCCCTAAAACAAAGCAGTTACAGACCTTGAGATCAATTGCAAGGGACAAGCTATGATCCAATTTCTTTCTTGATGAATATTTATCCTGCCTCTCCTCTGACATCTTACATGGGGTCTCCTTTAATTTTTCTTCACAGTAATAACCCAATGGCATATTTGAGCTAATATGAAGTGACTATAAATTATGCAGAGAATATCCTGTTCCTAGTTTTCCAACACCAGTAAAACTAACCTGACATTTCATCTGCAAACTGTATGTGTGTGAGAGAAAATGAGATTGAATACAATTGTGGTCTTTATCACTTCTGTTTCCTGAAAAAAGCCAGTTGATGGACCACTATAATGAGGTGAATTACTAAATTTCAGATGTCATAATAAAAACTTATTTTGGGGAAATTGCAACTGAAATATTACACTAAGCAATGTTCATGATGGGCATTTAACTAGTAGTCTAATATCTATGATTGGCCCATGATACAAACAATATATGTAAGAGTATATATTGCTGCAAATCTAATGTCTACCTTGGATCTGGATCTGGACATGTATAGTGAATTTACATAAGAAGCTATTATTCCTCAAGAAATCAGATACAAATAGAACAGTGTATGCAATGGCTAATATTGCCAGTCATACCTTGTTTATTTTTGAGTACAACAGTATGGACCATATCAGAAATTTCAAAATATATTAGCTAATTATATTTTATATTTCTGTATATGGTAGAGAGCGTATGGAATTGCCTTGAGGATAAGAGGAAAAGCTGCTATCAGGGCAATGATTAGATAAGAGGGATAGTCTGGGCCAAGAAAAAAAATTGAGAAAACGACTCTGACAAGCCCTCTCTAGCTTATATGAAGTGAAGAAGACGACTTTCAAGATTTTGTTACTATAGTTATTACAATAAAAGTTTTGTCCTGACCCATATGGAATTGGTTTCTTAGTCTGGTCTACCTTGTTGGACTAGCAAGGATAGGGCTACTTAACTGGACAGGCAATGCAACTAGCTTAATGTTCAAACATTTGGGCTACTATCTATTATACCCCTTGGCCTCAATTAGTAAAATGATCCCTTAATAAAACTGGTCTGTTTAAATCAGTGTTGGCTGTTTTGGTTGTCTTTTTTTCATTTTCTTTCAATACAAACATGTGTATTTACCTGTGCGGACATCATGGTTCACCCCTTCTATGGAAATAATGGCATTTGGAATTCCCTTCCCATGTTGATCCCTGACTATGCCTTTAATTCCACGATGCACCTGATAGTGAAATAAACCATCAAACCATCAAATAAGGTTCAGCATCAATCCCCCAAAAAATTACATGTTGACGACTGCTTTTCAAAGCTGTATCTGCCATGGGCTAAAGACTTCAAACAAATTAAGCAAGTTTCCCTCACTTAATCCTTACATAAAAGGAAAAGAGTCTTTGGCCTAGGCAGCTATAACAAATATCCTCATCTTCGTCATCATCATCATCATCATCATCATCATCATCATCATCATCATCATCTCAAGAACCTGGAGGTCCTCAATGAATAAACAGCTTCAGAACATTTGACATTAGTGCTATTTTAGAGAAAAAACAAATACTGAGAAATCAAATGGATAAACCACCTTGGAAATTACAGTATGACATTAGAATATTTTAGACAAACCCATATGCCTGACCTGTTATTATTTATTTCTTCCTGCTAGGTCTGCATGCTTGCCATACTATCTTTGAGGTATGGTTGGTGGATAGACGCAATTTGATTTACTGGGCTACATGATCCTGATTTAATCTGATTTCTCTTCACTCAGGTTCAATTCAGCTTGCTGTGAATGTTTCGTTACAAAGGTACTTTCAGTACTTTGTATGCTTTTTTGAGGGGGAGGGAATCTCATATGGAATGCATCCTGCGTGTGTTTGTGGGAGGGTACTTTATACCACCAAATTTGCATATGTATCTACAACTGAGGATCCTGTACACAATCTCTTTAAAGGGCTTTGGGATTAAAAATATATATTCAAAACATAACAAGGAATACAAATTTAGGATTACCAAGAAAAGATCACTACATAAGTATTTAGTCCAGCCCTGCTAAAGTATTTCAGACATAGGCAAAAATAAAACTCTGATGCAGCTGAGATGCAAAAGAACATATATAAATATAGGCAGAGGAAGTATCTAGGGATGTATAGAAAAAGTGGATTCCTATGTAGAAAAGCAAGGGTACTGATGCTGAGGATATTAAAATATTATTATATTTTATATAATATTAAATATTATAATATTAAATATATTAAATATTAAAATAGAATCAGTTAAGGCATCAGGCTAGAAACCAGAAGACTGAGGGTTCTAGTCTTGTCTTGGGCCTTGGATGACCTTGGGCCAGTCCTGCTCTCTCACAATAGAACGATTGCAATAGCAAATAATTTCTTCAATCTTGCCATGAAAACTGCAGTAACTATAGGGCACAATAATAATAACATCATCAAAGATTAACCATCTGCCACCCCACATTCTTGGGAAGGACTCAATAGGTGGGCAAAACTGTCAGATCCAGTCTAAACTTCTATGCGATCAACCAGAATAATACTATAATAATAATAATAAATAATAATAATACCAAAAGAGTCTGTTCAGTTCAAATAGTTGGAGGGCAATCTATAACAAACTCAGAAGTAAGAAAGAAACATGGAATTTGGAAACACTTAAAAAGGCTGCAAGTTGCTTGAAAGTCACATAATTTGATTCACTGTTTCAAAGATTTTTGGGCCTTGATCTGTGAATTTGCATAGCCATATTGAATATATCATTCAAACTCTTATTAATAATAGAATGACCTGCCTTATATTATGCTTGGAACATAATAGCAATATAATGTAAGTCATTAAACCTCACATTTGCAGGTCTGCTGTAATGATTTGACATTAAATAACTTGTTACTGAGTTAATAGAACTTGATCCAGCATTTCCTTTCTAGTTCAACTTATTATGAAAGACTGAATGTAAAATAATGACTTAAATATATGTAGATAAGCAGATAAATTGTTGTTTGTATATTCCATATCAGCTTTGAACCATCATCTTAAAAAATATTACTAAGTCAGAAACATAAGAAGCTATTAAACCCACCTCAAGATACGGGTTAGACTTACTTATAGAAAGTAGTGTGTGTTTTTTTTGTCTGGACTAAAATAGCTTCATTTATGGGGTAGGGTAATGAGAACGGGGAAGAAAATAATTTGATACTACTTTTGAAGGCTAAAATTTTATACTCATGCCAATACAAGCTAAGTATATTTAACATTTCTCTGGGAAAGCATCACCAAACAAACAAGAACATGGACAACTCTCCAAAATCATGAAGATTACAAGAGGAACAAGCAAGTAGCAGAGAACAAATTGTGTTAAGATAGACAATCCCTTCTCTTGCTCACATTTAGTCTCTAATCTTTAAGACCATTGTTTATTACACTTCACTGACAGGACCTAATAGAATAAGTCATTGCCTAAACAAGTTATACCTAGTTAACACTTAAATGGGAGATCACCAAGGCCCAGCTGCAAGCTAGAATGGAAACTAAGGAAAAAATACCAGAAGCATATAAGAGCAAATCACATCCTTTTGTTGTCAAGAAAACTACATGGATATGTCCATGTAAACGCTAGAATGACTCAGCCCAAAGAAGACTTCATTTTGCCGCTGCTTATGCAACCATCAGGGAAATGTGAATATAAAAACAAAGTAGCAAAAGCAGAAAAGTGATGATTGAGATTCTTCGTTGCCATGGAACTGAACTGAGAAAAAAATCAGAAACAATTCCTTGTAAAGGTTGGGAAAATACTGTAGAGGAAATGCCTTCCATTTGTAACAGCAGGATTTGGTGTTGATGGTGGTGGCGCAGTGGTTAGAATGCAGTATTGCAGGTTAATTTCAGGCTAATTCTGCTGACTGCCAGCAGTTCGATTCTCACCAGGTCAAGGTTGACTCAGCCTTCCATACTCCGAAGTCGGTAAATTGAGGACTCAGATTGTTGCCCCCAATATATTGACTCTGTAAACCACTTAAAGAGGGCTGAAAAGCACAAGGAGCAGTATATGTCTAAGTGCTATTGCTATTTATATTTTGACACTTTGCTGCAGTTCACAGTTGTGATTCTGTTCCTTACTACTGGGCATAAAGTTGTTCAGCACTACTTATATAGCTTTATACATGGAGACCTACCCTAGGTAGCAGTGGTATGGATAGAAGCCATGGGGCCTGCAGTACATATCTCCTCAGTGTGCTTCCTACTGGTATCTGTAAGCTGTTCGCCACTAATTGGTCAGAATGGAGAGGAGAGGAATGGCTCTGGAGGAAATTGGCTAGTGATCATTCCCACAGTAACCCAGCTGATGCTGCTTCCAAAGCAACAATCTATTATAGATTTTATACACCTTGAAGCTATGATGGGATAGAGCCAGCTGAAGAAAGAAATTCGTCCATGTGATGTGAACCAACTAAAGCTGTTTCCTAATGAACTGGGGATGAGATGAAGCAGTACATGTGACCAAAGGGGAAGGTTGGTTTTATCAGAGCATTATTGTGTCATGACAAAGCGCAGGAATGGTCTTTTGCATTCCTGGTGAAAGAGCAAATGGGGACGGGTTCTGTATCGTTTTGGTTTGTTTGCTGAATTGTAGTGTATGTATTCTGTACACAGTCTTGTTAATGATAGCTTTCAAACTGTATGCTAAAGACAATTTGGCTTTAGTTTGCTGAACATTGCTGACACCTTATCAAATGCAAATACAAGCATCATGCAGTGTGTTAGGAAGAGAAAGATTCCTCAGCTAGTAAGCAGAAAACTATAGATGTTGTGCTGTTGTTTATGGGACGTGCTCAAGAAAATCAAGCTGTGTACTGCTTTTTGTTAAGATTACTCTAGCTGTATCAGCAAACTGGGGGGGGAGCCTGTTTAAAGTTTTGCTTCCTGCAGGATTTTAAATATGACACACAAAAAAGCCCTTTGGCAACATTTCTATGTAGGTTGGATGATGTGCATTATTATTAGGATAGGCTACCCATATACTTACTAGGGTGAAAAAAATAAGAGAACAAAGAGCTTGTTTTGAATTCCTACTGTCCACTATGGCAGATCACTCAAAACACAGTGTTTATCCATAGCCCAAATCCAAATACTTTTTTTATTTAATGCACAATAAGGCATCCATGAGCTAGGGTTTTTTTAAAAAAACAAAACCCAACAACTCTGATCTCTAGCAGAAGTAGTTATGGAAGCATTTTGCCTCTTATGTATTTATGTATTTGTGAGTAATTGTGAAGAATGCTGATTCACATCAGAGGCTGAAATGTCCACTTATTTGAAAGCTAACATAAAATCTTTGCTTTCTGCTTCCTAAGACAACACCGTTGGCAAGAAATTATGGTAAACAAATTTCACACATTCCTGGATTGGGATCAGATCCAAACCTTACCAGCCAAATTGTTTTGCTCCTTACCTGTTCCATGAAAACAATAAGTGACTCTCGGTTATTTTCCCATTCTTCTGGTAATTCACTTTCATGAGGGTATTTATCACAGCCAACATATATAGACAATTCAAAACAATTTGTATGTAGATAGCTAAAGTCATTTATGCCTGTAAGTGCAATGAAGAGAACAAAAAAAGAAATTGTTATTTCTTCTGAGACTAAATAGAGTCATTTTTAAAAGAATAAAGCATTTATCCTAATAGTTACAAATGGCTTTGGTATTTCTAGAAAATACATGTATTTTAAAATATATCAGTAACTTAATCAAAAGGAAGCCACATAATATTAAATCAGCACTAATGTTTTTGTAATGGAACATTAAATTAGGGCCATAAAACATGGCTATGATCTGGCATGTAAATATCTTGCCATTATAGATTTCAGGATATGTTCAGAGCCAAATTTGAAACAAGTTCAAAGCCAATATGCATAAATCCAATCTAAAACATATTTAGGAAACTACAGATCTCTTTTTTTACTAGCACATTCTTCAGAGGTTCAAAAGCTGTCTTCACTTAACCAGAGTATATTACAAATTGATGGTTAAGAATGCAATAAACCATCTTCTGGTTGAAAAATACTGCAAAAAAAGTTTCTCTAACTAAGCTGCTATTATTAGAGAAACAGTATTTGGAAAATTTAAAAAAGAAGAAATTCTCAAGCTCTCAGATTTAAAATAGCCATAACAGAAATCCAGCCAGGGATCAACACTTTCAACAGAAAATGTAATTTGAGTGCTAGCTATCCATCATGCACATATTTGTAATAAATCTTTTTCTAACACTCTGATCAAGACATATGGAAGTTAGACTATGAGGAAAGATGACTTTTAATCTTTTCTCCTAACTTCTAAACTTCAACTTGGCTCTCCCCAGATGGATTTGAAGGAAGGACAAGGATAATTTCTCCTTCCTATGGATTTCCATCTTCCCAAAGCTATTATTTTCCTAGAGAAAGCAGCTATATACAGTGTGTACAACTGATAAAAAATTGTTCTAACCCTAAGATTCTAGATATGACTAGCAGCAAAGATTCATGAATCAGAATGAGCTCACAAATGATTTTTAATTCAATTTGTTAATCTGAAAAAAATGCTACCAGACATCTCCTTGCTTTTGGCCGCCATAGACAGCTCTCTCCTACAATGTACATGAAGATTCATGAATAACAATATAAGGGCCAATGTCACATAATACTCATATCAATGTCCAAGCTAATTAAAGAGCACAAGAACACACTTTGTGAACAGCTATCTTTATTATTGACACTTCTACACAATGCCTTTGCCCTGGACAGAACCTGCTCTGGAACATTGTATTCTCAGGCTGAACTTCAGAAATTGAACTCATTTATTTCAAGTATTTTTAATATAGCAAAAAAGGGATACTCCCATTGGTAATACTGAGACCTTGTAGACCTTGTGAGAACTCTTATTCCTCACTGATGGAATTTCTCATCACATCTTGTTTCTTTGTTCCTAGCTTTGGCAGATTATTGTTTCAAGACTAGCAATCAGAGAAAATGTTTATAGCCTCTCTTCGTTGCAAAGATATTGCTTCATGGCTCCATTATTTTGTTTTCTGATACTGTATATTGTTATAAAAGTGTTCTTTTTTGCAAAAGAAGTTTAGAATTTGCTGAAAAATATCAAAACAGTCAATGAATCAATGAATGGATCAATGTTCATTGTAGGATCCTCCAATCTGGCCAAATTGAGTGGCCCACCTGCAGATTCTGCCTTTGATATTTTGGGTCATGAATAAGTCCTTTTATCATTTCTCCTCAAGGATAAATACAATGGATTTTATATTTTCTCACCAGCAGCTGACATCTATGTATTTGACTGCAATGAAATCTCTTCCAAAAACCTGATCTATTGGTAGATGGATAAGCACTATATTGCTGATGTAGTGGCATACCAACACTGTAGTAAAATCACTTTCTGAGTGGCTGTTTGACCAACATAGTATCACATCTGCATTTAGTAAAATTGAGATCCATTTATTGCTTTCCAATTATATGATCTTCATTATGAACATGGCAATAAATCTCTTCCTAAGAATGCAAGCAGTGGACAAAGTTCAGATACATTTCTTGTACTGCAAATACAAAAGAAACTAATTTAATGAAGGTCAGCTAAGAAAGTGTGCGTAGGCATGCCATTTAGCCAGCTTTTAACTCCTGGAAAATGCCTAGTCTAGTCTCTGCAGTTTTCTTGGCAAGATTTCAGAAACGTTTTGCCATTGCCTTCTTCTTAGGGCTGAGAAAGAGTGACTGGCCCAAGTTCACCCATCTGGCTTTGTGCCTAAAGGGAGAGTACAGGTCTCCTGGTTTCTGGCCTGATGCCTTAACTATACTAGCTGGGCCTCTAGCTAAGAATCTAGTCATATTTTTATGTCAGCTCCAGGGTTTAAATCCTTGTGTCTCTTTCTGGTGCCCATATGCAGTAAGAAACTATTGCTACCCATTTTTCAGCCTTGGATATTGAGGGTCCCTGCACAACGTTTTGATAATTATCTTTCTTTGCTGAAACCTTTCACTGGTCTTCCCATCTTCGGCCCTCCCATCTATACATTTTGACAATTCTTGGATTCATTTATTTCATAATAGTAAAAATAATGCAAATATATTATGAGCAAAAAATTACATTAGCATACAGGAATATTCAAGTACTTAATGAGCCCTAAAGTATGTACTCTGGGGGTGGATTATATAACATAGATGTTAATTTGGGGGTTGATTAAATGATTAAAATGTGAGAGCAATGACTGATGCAGCTCAGCTAAAATCTTTTCCCTTTCCAGTTAAATGCCAAAGGTCTGCAGATTTTAAATTAATATTTTGCAAGAAGTGAATTATATGCTAAGCTTTAAACAGTTTCTTAAAATATCTTGAAATACCACATAAAGCACACAGTCATTGTATCTGCTTATTCATGTTCTTTTGAAATGTTAAGGAAATGTTTACATTTCTAAGACCAAGAATAAGGTCCTGCTGCCTATGGGAATGTAAACTGAAGATCTAAATCAACATTTGTAATTTTTACATAATCTTCATATTGAAGATTAACTCCCTTATTGCAGTTTGGATTGCATGACCAAAGGAAAAGCAAAGTCACAGGTAATTATGAAACTTAGTTTATTAGAAGATTATGATAAAATATTATATATTTTCATCATCATCAGTCCAACGCAAGTTCTTGCTTCTGGTTTTACAGTAGACCAAATTGAGTAGCGATGCATGATTTCAGAACAGCTGAATTTCAGAATAAGCAGATAGGATAAGAAACTGGAACCAGCATTTTGGAATTCACATTGCACAAAGATTTTATTATTATAAAAATACAATAGAGATAATTAAAAATAACTCAAGAGTACAATACAGAAGTAAAATGAATTTAGTATGCTTAATTCAGACTACTATTTGCAATTTAACAAATACTATTTATCAAAGTGGTTAAAATCAGTTTGTTAATGTCAGCCAATAGCAGTGCCGTGTTTAGTGGATTGATTCACAATTAAGTTTATATTTCAACTAATAAATTTGGCAATTAAAAGGCCAATTATGTATCTGTAAAATAAGGTGTATGCAAAATTAGGACATTCATTAGCTATATGTATTCAAAACTTTATGTTTTTTTAAAAAAAAATACTGTGAAAATGCAACATCAAATGTCCTGAGTAAAAGGACATTTGCAAACTAAATAAAAAATGTACTTTAGATTATGGGATCATCATGGTAAGGCAATATTATATGATCCACTGCAAACATAATACAGCTTTTAGCTTATAGATAATCTGCTTACCAAAAGTGCTTAACAATAAAAGGAACTAACAAAATGGTTGTGTAAATGTACACTTCGTCTCAAATTAATGTTACTGAGATTCTTAGGAATTATAAGAATGGTTTTATAAATATCAGTATCTGCTGAGACTGGCAATAGTAAAATTGACAAATCAGTCAGTTAAGCAAAAGGAGGGGAAAAGGCATATTTGAAATGTTGAAAAGGCTGAGTTGAAGAGAGCATTTTAATTTGATGCTAATAGATACAAATGTATGTCAATCAAAAAATTGCAAAGTCAAGGCACTACCACAGTAAGGCATACTACACTTCTTGCAATGAGGCTACATAAAGGAGAAGCTTCTAGAAGATCATATTGCAGAGAGAGGACAAGATGGGAAAAGGTGCTCCTTCATATAATAGGCCCTCATGCCATTTAAGGTTTTACAGGTGAAAATAAGCATTGTAAATCTCAATTTTATACTAAGGGACTCAGAGAGCAGAGAGCCGGTGAAGTTCTTTCAAATTGATACAATAGTTTCATCTAGGTATCTCAATCAGATTCCAATTTTTAATTTCTGTAGAATTTAAAAATTTAAACTATTCACAGCCAGCTTCAAATATACTAATTATAGTGGTCCAAACAGAAAGTTCCTGGAGCAAAATTATTTTCCACATAATCCATAGTCTTGCTGATGTCCTGGATGAAGCTAATAGAGAATGCTCAAAGCTACCAGTATCAGTTGGGTCTCAATAGGTCAATGGTAGATTAAGAAGCACTCCAGGTTATGTACTTATTTCTATAAAGAAAATGCAAGGTCAACTGAAACAATTACCCTGGTCTATGAATTGTCACCAGGATTTGTTTTCAGTTTATTGATCTTTATCTAGACTAGGCTGAGTCAAGGCAGAGTTTGAGCTCATCTAAAGTATCGTTTGATTAGACAACATGCAGAAATAGAATTGAATGTAATCTATCCCTAACAGTCTTCCCAGATGATCAGAATAAAATAATGAAATAAAGTCTCTTCTGTTGTTAAGTTGGATAAATAGGTTTGACTGAACTAGCGATATCGATTGTGATTGTGTTACAAATACGCAAGGGTGGAAAAAACCTTTAATCAGAAGGCAAAAGAAGAGTTGTTGTTTTTCATTCCTATTCTAAAGGGATGGCCCAAAATGTTTCCTTCCTGAGACAGAATAGTACAGCAATGAGATCTTCACCAACTTAATAGAACTCAGTTCACAGCCAAGATATTTTGATACACAAGGCTCCAAATCCTTAAACGCCTCAAATACTTCCTTTCCTCTAAGGCAATAAAAACACAAACCTCGTTAATGAATTTTCTGCCCTTTCCTCACTTAAATACTATTCTTCTCTGCATGACATCTGAACTTTTGTCCAAAAAATCTTATATACTTTCAGCACTACAGTGCATTAATGCCTTCTTCCTAAATATTACACAGACTGCATATACACCCAGCAGCAAAGAGAAGACTAGATGTAAATGTTAGTTATTCATTAATGTAAATGTAATTGTTCTTGATTGTGCTAATCTAATCATGTTGTGAGAAAGTGACTAGACAAACCTGTCCTTGGTGTACATTATATATGCTCAGATACCTGGCCCCATCTGATTCTTTTTAAAGGTATTGTGTGGTACCATTGTAAAATAGAAAGTTACCATACTAGTGGTATCCAGAAAAAACCCACTGTCAAATTAACAGCACATTTTATAATATCATTCTGTAAATAATGTAATGATGTCACATAAAAGTGATATCATTTGTATAATTACTTCATCACACACCTGTTATAATTTGCCCTTTACATATGCCCCTTTCCAGCAGACAACTATAAAAAATAGCATTGGCCTCAAGTATAATAAGAATATTTCTGCACAAATTATATAGATGACATTTAAATAAGCAACATCTAGACCAGATGAGGCTTTTTAAATATTAAAAGTTGTTTTAAAAATATGTTATTTGTGGAGACATAAATATGTAGCTAAGAATGCTCAAAGAAGCTATTCTTAGCTTTTATTGGGCAAAAGTAGGCCAATATTTATTTTTGCCATCAAGGTATTTCACACTCAATTCCTCTGTGTTCCAGCATTTCTTTACAAGAATTTCAACTTTTTACAAAAGGGAAAATTCAGTCTAATTTTTGAAGCTGTGTTACAAATGCACATCACGTCTATAATCATGGCAGAGAGCTACTGATGTGGGAGAATCAGCTTTGTATCTTTTCACTATTTTGTATCTTTGGATGAAAGGACCATTTCCCTATTTAGTCTGGTCCCACTATTTCTACATAATAGCATCCAGATTACCTAGGAAAACCTCTTGGAGAGAAAACCTCTGCTTTTTAGCTAGAACTTGTGGTAATAATGGATTCCATAAAGCTAAGAAAATGATTAAGCAGCAAATATCCGGCACAGGGGCCTTGATATTGAAGTCTGGGAGTTAGGTTGAAAAGGCTATAGAACACCTTTTAATTTGATATTCATTTATTCATTCAAACAAATTTTGGACAAGACTTTTACTATGATCTTCCCACCAGCTTTGGTTGCAAGCAGACTTAATCAAATTCCATGCTTGATAACTATGCCTATATGGTAAAGAAGAGCTGGAGTCAGCCAATACATTTCTATATTGTTCCTTTTATAGCATCCCCATTGAGAATTCAACATTTCTCTTCTAGCTAATTATAATTGTATTGGTTTATTTGTAGAGCTCTTCTGATTTTAATTATGCATGATGTCCATGGGTTAGGAATGTATGCTTCGTGTTATGCTCTTTGAATTTTTTTGTGTTTCTAATTAATGATTGTACTTTTTCCATCTATGTTTCTGGGCCCAATGTGATCAGCAGAAACATTCTTAGAAAATAAATAGTGGTTGATTGCATTCAGTTCATATTGCAGTCCAGTTTAGAATTGTGCCCAGAAAATGGTACTGTAAGATGAGTTTATCAAGATGATTTTGGAAAGTTAGAGGAATGGTATGAAGCAAACTCATCAGCTAATCTTTCAGATATTTTTAGAATTGCATTTAGTACATTGGATATGTCCACTACAGCAGCCATTTTGTGTAAATTGCACATGAAAACACTCAACTTTTCAGATGTACACATCACTTTAAAAGGCTGGTTATAGTTCCTTAAGTATATAATGATTAATCAGGAATTAGAGCTTCTTTGCATATTGCTTCTTGCTCTTGCAATTCTTTTATTTACATAAATCTTTGTTTATTGCAATACCTAAATGGGTTATCTCTCTTTCCTTCCATTAGATGCACATTACATTTTGTTTGAACTGCTGCATACCCTCTATTCTATTTATGTAAACCGAATATCATTTAAGTCCTCTGTTCCATAAAAGCATGGATGTGGAAAGCCAAAGGAGAATCAGCAACTTCTGCCTTAGTCCAGGAACATCTTTCAAAACTCAGATTTTTATCAGGACATAATTACAAAGTTTTGCTTTTATGGTAGCAGATGACTGCTATTAATCTACAGTTAGGACAAGAAAGCAAAAGAACAAATAGCAATAGCAATAGCACGTAGACTTATATACTGCTTCATAGTGCTTTACAGTACTTTCTAAACAGTTTACAGATTCAGCATATTTCCCCAACAATCTGGGTCCTCATTTTACCGACCTCAGAAGGATGGAAGTCTGAGTCAATTTTGAGTTGATCAGGACTGAACTCCTGGCAGTGGGCAGAGTTAGCCTGCAATACTGCATTCTAATCGCTGCGTTCCCATGGCTCCTGACCTATTTATATGTTTGACAAGTTGTTAAAATTTTATTTTTCAGCTGCCACTTACTTCCTGCTACAGTATGCCAGGAAGCTCCATTTACTGTTCCATCTTCCTTCTGGAAATCCTCTGTATGGCATACTCTTCGCCGAGCATCCGTCATTAGTCGGTGAGTAGAAGCATACGAATAGGCCAGCCATCGAAAGACGTGGTCATCTGGAGTGGGTGTGTGCTCCTGTGTCTTCCAGATTGACCGGACCATATCATATGGATAGGCGACTACAAGCTCTCCTCCCTGTAAATTCCCTCCAAGCACAAAAGGATTCTTTTCCATCCATGCTATCACAGCTCGTGTTTCCACTGCCACCTATGAAAGAGAAAGGGTACAGAATTCTAAGCTAGATTTTCAAGAGACTCTTTGAATACATGGACACAACTGCAACATTATAATCCAAAGGCAAAACTGTGCATTCGCCTCTTCACATTGTTTTGATTGTGTAGTCTGAAACAGTCAAGAAAAATATCAAAGGAAACTTAAGTAATGATAAAAGGAATGTAAAAGGAAGTTTTAGCAATTCTTGCTAAAAATGACCATAAACATTTCAGCATGATCAAAATCAGAAACAGATTGTAAAATGTATGATTTCCAAATCACTTTGGAAATAAATGTATACAATCTGTTGATGGAGGAAAATAAGGAGTCACTAAAGGAGTTTGATAAAGGTTTAAATTCAGATTTGGAAGGAGCCCTGCTTCAAACTACGCATTTGCCAAATCTGTTAGAACTGGCTGCGGTCATTTTTAGGCTTCCATCAAAACTGAACCACACCAATTCTTTATTAACAATAACACAAGCTGTTTAAAAACCCATCTTTTAGGGGGCAATAGTTACAAGAAACAATGTTTGGAACTGATATATGACAAGGACAAACAATGTAACTATGTTACATCTTCCATTAATAACAATTTACACAAGTCAGTGTGACATTGCCATTAGCATTATTGAAGATTATATTTTGAAAAGTTCTTCAGGGGTGTTTACAGGGTGTAGTAAAAAAAAGTCAGGACACAGCACATAAAAGAGGGTACAGCTTCAAATTTTGTTGCAGCACCATTTGACTTTTTTTTTCTTTTTAAATTGTTCTGAAAACGTCTGGGTCTTGTCCTGTTGGAAAATGTTTAGCCCAAAGTTTTCAGAATGATATGGGTAAAAAAATAAAATAAAATCAGAGCATGCTAAATGATACATTATAAAGTACTTGAAATCTATATTTTAGATGATAACATTAGAGGTAGATTATAGAAAAATCAACAACCTTACTTGCATAATATTAAATTGAAAAATTATATATTATACATACTGGAATGTGTTGTGCTGTTTTATAGTAATAAGAATTGAGATAATTTTCAACTACTCCAAATCACCTAACATTTTTTTTCATAAAATTTCTACTTACTGTAGCATTTACAGACAGATACCATTCTGGAATCGGAATTTGATGATTTGGGACCTTTCTCAGAAGTCTTCTCCGATCTTCAGATTCCCAGAGGAGTGTATTTAAATCTGGGAAGTTATTGTTGATATCAATACCATCTTGAGTCCATCTTCCTAAAGACCAGCCTCCTAATTCAGAACCCTATAATGCAATGATCAGATCATTTGGCTTATTTTATAGCTGCAGTTATTGCAGGAATATAATAACAACTCTATGTACTTTTCTTATAGTAATAAAACTAATCTCCTGTGTGCATGGTAAAATCAGCCATTCTGGTTTTGAAAATGGATTGACTAAAATTACCATTCTTTTGCATCACATTCTTTGTTTTTCTCCACATTATAATTTTGAACAATTGGGCAGCATATCTAACTTAAATCCACATTTCAATAGGATGCGAGGGTGACTCATTTAATTCACATTTATTCTCCTTATCCCCAACACTTTGACATTTTGTTGGACTTCTTTCTTAGTACACTTTTGAATATGATGATTTCCTCTTTCCTTTTCCCTGTTATTACAAATGTCCTGGTTTATATATCATTAAATCTACAGCAAAGGATGTGAATTCTGTCAAAACCTAAAATGCCACTTTGTAAATAAAAAACAGCATTGAATAGTAATTGTATCTGGAGGCAGCCGCAACTGAATTTCTGCATAATTGATTCCCAGAAATGTGATGCTAGCATTCTGTCAACATTATTTTAGTTAGAAATACTAATAACTTAATAGAAAGGGAGCAAGTAATGGTGGTAGCATCTAGCTAACCTTGGCCACTCTTAAAATACTAAGCAGGGTTGAACATGGTTTGAATTTAGATGGGAGAACTACAGAACATTCCAAGGCCTAGGCTACACTGGGAAGTTGAATAATATCCTGAAAGAAGGCAAGGACAAGTTCCTTTTGCAGCATTGCCAAGAAACAGCAAAGCATGTTCACACACAAAAAAATATTAGGTTGGTTTGAAGAAAATATTACACATTGTATACACATACACATAGAATGGGAAGCTGTGGCTTTCCAGATGCTATGCATTTAACTTCTACTATCTCTCACCATTAGGTCCTATTAGCTGGGATTATGGGAGATGTGGTTTATCTATACTTGAAGATCCAAAAGTTCTCTACTCTAGTTTAAGGGATTTCACTCTCTTAATTTCAAATGCAGGACCATTCTACACATAATTTCTTCAGTGTAATAGTTGGTAAAGCCCAACATAGCTGCACAAGTTCAAGGAAGCAAGAATTATATAGACTTCAGTTAGATATCTTTAATGCTATCCTGGAGCAAAGACAGTATCTTAGAAATTCCTATAATAAATTCACCATTTATAATAAATTAAGGAAAAATCTCTTGAACTATTTGAGATGCCACCTAGACTGAGTTGTCATTTATAAGGCAGGTTCTTTCTATCTCTCATCCTCCCCACAACTCTCACACAGGTTCTATTTCTTCAAACTATCTCAAGACCAGAGTAGTATGGGGGGAGAGTTTACAGATGTTTTGTTGTGTTTACAAATCATTTCTGCATAGCATTAAATGTATTAACCTGGTGACACAATAGTTAAAGTGCAGTATTCAGGCTAACTCTTCCCACAGCCTGGAAGTTGATCCTAACAGGGTTCAGGGTTGACTCAGCCTTCTATCTTTCTGAGGTCAGTAAAAGGAGGAGCCACATTGTTGGTGGAAACAATGTAAACCACCCAGAGGGTGGTATGGGGTGCTATGGGGTGGTATATAAGCCTAAATGCTAAATGTTATTGCTAATCACTGTTATGATTGAGAACATGGGGATTAAAAAAATCACAAGCACACTAAAATTCTTATAAGTTATCTAAAGATATAGGACAGTGGTGGCGAACCTATGGCATGCACGCCAGAGGCGGCACTCAGAGCCCTCTCTGTGGGCACACGCGCTGTTGCCCCAGCCCCGCCTCCCCTCACAGCCTCCTCCTCACCAGCAGCCCCCCTGGAGAAGAGTCATCCCCAGGCTCGGCCTGAGCGGAGTAGCGCAGCCAAGAACATAGCAGCCGGGCAACAGGGACAAGACTCCGCCATCATGCCCCTTCGCGTGCAGATGCTGCTGCGGGGCGTAGGCAGAGGTGTGACTGCCATGGTGCTGCAGGGCCACCTGGGTGATCTGCTGTGGTGGGCAGTGGAGGCGGTGGGTGGCCCTGTGGGCAGGCAGGGTGAGGGTGGAGTGGGGGTGGACAGGGGACGGGGTGGTTTTGGGGCACTCGGTCTCTAAAAGGTTCGCCATCACTGATATAGGATATTTAGAAAGAACTAGCATATCTGGATTTTTTATTATTATTAAAAGCATTATCCTTTATACCCAGTTTAACAGCAAAGGTTTGTCTAAGAAAGGCTTTTCTCATTGCTTCTTCTAACATTCCTTTTTCCTTTAATTGTACAATATGCTACATAGGCATTTTTGCCACTAAAGAAATGTTTGACCAAGATGTCAAGTTAATTGAATTACTGGAAGAAATGAAAGACTAATCAAATAACATCCAAAAAGAGCTGCCACAAAAATCTCTTAAAGGCCCAAACTATTCTTATTTTGACATTAGACTCTGGGAATATAGATGTTATTTCAAAATACGATGCTGGCAATTTGAAATCAACATTTGGCAGCAGATATGCCTATAGTGATTACTTTAGGGAATGAAGTAAACATTAAAAAAGCATCTCATTTTGGGTTATATCCAAACTAAAGCAAGCCTCAGGAAAAAGATGTGGCTCTAATTTGTCGTGATTTCTTAAAAATGGACAGAAAAATGTCAGACTATTTTAAGGTGGAAGAACATGAAAACTGCAGTGATATTTTACAATATATATTTTGCAGTTAAAAAGAAAAAAAAGAAATGCCCCCTTACCATAAAGCAAGCCCTGCTCAGGCAGCTAGCAGATCTTGAAAACACTATAGATTAATACTACCAGAAAATATTGTTCTGTAAACTGGATTGGGAATCCAATACAACTAGACCTTGACTTACAACATGTCTACAGACATTCTTAGTCATCAGGTCATAGTTATCCCAAAGATGCTTTTTCACAAGGCAACTGAACTTTCTTGTTCTTCTTTGAAGACATTTCATCCAGAAGCTTCTTCAGCTCTGACTGGATGGTAGGGAATGGAAGCATTTATATTCCTTGCAGACAGCTGGTCATTTGGTGGAGCATTGCTGAAGAAGCTTCTTGGATGAGAAGCGAAAGTCTTCAAAGAAAAACAAGAAAGTCCAGTTGCCTCGTGAAAAAGCATCTTTGGGTTGACTTACATTTACTGACCATTCATTTACTGACTGTTCGAACTTACAACAGCACTGAAAAAAAGTGACATATCACCGTTTTTTACACTTATGACCATTGCAGCATCCCCATGGTCAGGTGACCAAAATTCAGACGCTTGGCAACTGACTCATGTTTATGACTGTTCCAGTGTCCTGCGGTCATGTGATCAGCTTTTGCGACCTTCTGACAAAAAAAGGTTAATGGGAGACCAGATTCATTTAACAACTGTGTTACTAATTTAACAACTGCAGTGATTCATTTAAGAATTGTGGAAAGGTTGTAAAATGAGGCAAAATTCACTTCACAACTGTCTTGCTTAGCAAACAGAAATTTGGGGTTCAGTGGTGGTCATAAGTAGACCTGTAGGAAGATAGTAATGTTGCTGCCCTAGCTCACCTCCAAATTGCACACACTTTTTCATGTAGCCACTAGAAGCTGAGCTCTAGTTGAGAGTGTTTTATTATTTACTTATTACATTTGAAAACAGCTTTTGCACTGATGTTTTACCACTTTACCCCTTCATAGGCCTTTTCATATCCATCTGGATTGATTGAAGGAAGAAGATGAATTCTAGTATTCTCAATGAGATGCTTAATGCGCAGATTCCCAGCAAGATATTCTTGGCACATAAACTGCATTAACAAAAGCAGTAGTTCACGCCCAAGCACCTCATTCCCATGAGCTCCTGCCATGTACCGAAATTCAGGTTCACCTATTCAAAACAAAACAAAAAGTTGGCAATAAGTCTAGTGTCTTAATTTGGTCCATTTTTGCAGCTTTTTCTTACCCTGAAAGTGAAGGTTAACTTTCTAATTTATTCAGGAGCTTGATGACTATTTATAAAAAGAAACTTAAAGGGTACCCATAGGATTTTATTTTGCTTCCAACTCTCAAAATATTTTAAGACATTCCATGGTACTCAGTGTGACAGAAGGCTGTTTCAACTTTTCTTTCTAATGGAATGTTCCAGAATGTCCTGGAATGATGTGACATGTGAATGTTGTGTTCAAGGAAGTGACATCTGCAGATTCTATGGAGTACCTTTTTTCCTCTCTCAGCCAACAACTTGAGTACCTTTGGAGCAATATGATGTCACAAGTTGAGATATTACTCTCAAAAACAAACTGAAGGAATGTAACTACTAGACTAGAAGGAAGCTGTAATATGAGCCCTTTGCTGCCATGAGCCTTGCAGAACTTACTGCAATAAGCAGTAAGAGAAAGAGAAAGAAAACCACTTTACAGGATTTTCATCTTCATTCTATGTATTTTAAAATGAAACAGTCCAAAAGACTGTTTTGATATTTTCCACATATCAAGGGATTTCAAGGGAATGCTCTTTTCATTGCTGATGTTCTTCTGAGCAAAACTATACAGTGTTATTTGCCGGTCTTCAGACAACAGAATAATATCTCTTGTGATTAAGACAATGTGGCTACTTATCAACCCTTGTTTGACTGACAGTTGGGTTCCTGGCTGTGATCAGGTGTCTTTTTTCCATATATTCTACATCAGCGGTGAGCAATCATGTGTATTGGGCTGCACTCACCCTTGCATCTCTTTTAGATAAGACTTTTGTTTATATTAAGGGATTTGAAGGAGTTAAAAGGAACTGTTTTTATGTTCAAAAATTGAAGCATTTTTTTCTCAGTTTAAGAGATCCCTTTTGTCTTTTAATCTCCAACCAATATCCATATACACTGTGCAACTGCGGGGGGGGGGGAATCTGCCCTAAATTAAAGTATAACTTATGGATGCAAGAAAATTATCCTGCTGATTTTTGCAGGGTAACCCCTAGCAGAAAACAGCCTGATAGTTCTATTTGTTTTTAAATATAATTTTGTAATAAATGTGTCTGTGTGTGTATGAGAGAGAGATTTTGTGTGTATCTCTATCTATCTATCTATCTATCTATCTATCTATCTATCTATCTATCTATCTATCTATCTATCTATCTATCTATCTATCCATCTATCCATCTATTCATCCAAAGAGAAAAGCAACCTAGAACCAAGGAGAAACTTCCTGACAGTTAGAACAATTAATCAATGGAACAACCTGCCTCCAGAAGTTGTGAATGCTCCAACATTGGAAGTTTTTAAGAAGAGACTGGACAGCCATTTGTCTGAAATGGTATAGGGTTTCCTGCCTGAGCAGGGAATTGGACTAGATGGCCTCCAAGGTCCCTTCCAACATTATTATTATTATTATTATTATTATTATTATTATTATTATTATTATTATTATTATTATTATTATTACTACTACTACTACTACTACTACTACTACTACTATTATTATTATTACTATTATTATTACCATCATCAACATCATCATTGTATATGTATTCATATTTAAGGTACAGGTCTTTATGAGAAGTTTCATAAAGCATCTCAATAATAACTGTAGTCCAAAGCACAGCATCTGGAACATGACTTATGAACTATTTCCTGCATTTAGAAGATACATTTGTTAGTCATTCAACTCAATTAAGTCAGCTCAATTCCATTCCTCTTCACTCTCTGTCTCTCCTCTCCTTCTTGAAGAAATAAAATCAAAACATTATTTGGGGACTTGGGGAAAGAGAGCAAATTGCTCAGAAAGACTTAATTCCAGTCATTTTACAAGGATTTTCCTATTTCACCTCTTGGAAGTAGAGATTCTGTCCAAAGAGGTCTGGATTAACTCAAAAGATTTTATTCAGCTCAATATGAAGAACTAAAATAGCATATTTTTAGACATCAGTCATATGATTCAGCTGATTTAGAATTTTCTTTAAGCTGGAAGAACCGTTTAGAAACCATGTAATAAAGCAATGTTTATAATAGTTGCTCTTAGTACAGGCCTAAAGAGGTTTTATTTTTATTTTTAAAAAGCATTATATACTTTGTTAATGTTCATTTTAATCATTCTGGCTGGAGATTAATTTACTGATTTATTTATTTATAAGATTTATATTCTAGGAACTATGAGATCTACAAAATGTAGGGCACCAGGTTGGATTTGGGTATTCTAAATGAATAGGTATCAACCACAAGAACTATAAGTACATATTTCTGAGTATTAAAGATTTTATTGTAATGAAAAATATATGATTAATATTGGCAAATCTGAGCCCCATCTCTGGATGATTTCTATTTATATTGATTTTCTAAAATTAGGAAAATATAATTAAAATTTCTCCCACATATTTTGCAATACTGCAATTTTATAGGCACATGTCTCTACTGCTTGCTAGATGCTATAAAATGGGAAATATTAAAATTTTAAACATTCCAAAACCATCACCACAAAGCCTTCAGATTGTTATTTTTGTCAGAATGTAATCCTAACCAACTTCGTGTTCTCCAGGATTGTCGGATATTTCAACAGCATACAGCTTTAGCCCTTGATGACTTTTTCCAATATTGTAAATTCTTGTGATATTTGGACACATCTCATTTACCACCTTCATCAACTGTATAAAAAAAAAGAACAAGCAAAATAAGATATTTATATAATAACTGGCTAGGAAATGGATTCAAACTTTTACCTCACCCTTGCTTTTTGTTTTCTGTTAAAAGTGCACATCAATTCTGATCCAAATCAAACTGTCAGTTCAGTTTGGACTGTTGACCTGATTTGATTTAATGACTGAATTCAAGTTGGGAAAACAAGCTAATTCCATTTTCCAAATTGATTTGAGGCATTTCATTGCATTTAGCGATTCAGTCAAAATTGCTGACCTGGTTTGAAAAGCTGATTTAATTTGGAGAATTAATTTATTCACCCTTGAAACAAATTTTCAAAACAGTTGATCTGTTTGAGATTTAAGCCTAAGAGATGTAAAAATAATAATAATAAGAAAGGTAAATAAACAAAGGATTTCTTATTATTTTTAACTTATAAATCATTATGAATTTTTAAACGACTTCTAGAATAAAAAGATAGACTTTTTTTCTTTTTCTATTTCTGCAAGACACAATAGGTACATGAAACACTCTATTTTGTTTGTGTGTTTACAAAAAATGAGTAGTCTCTTACTATTTAGTCATACCTATTAACAACTGGATCAATTATAAGGTCAATTTCTAGGTCGATTCATTCATAGGCAAATATTATAAATTTATATTATTATTAATAATTGAATTCATAATAATAGTTATTTATTCTATTAACATTCTGGAAGAAAACTCCTGATAAGTTCCTTAAAGAACCTTTAATTAGACTGAACCTTAATTCAATTATACTTAACCATTGTACTAAAGGCTGCAGAAGGAAGTTGGCAAATCTAAGCCAGCTACAATTTTTAAGGAGAATCTAGTGCTACAAGTCAACTTATAATGAATTAGCTTTCAATGATTGACTTTGCCTTCAGCCAAATTCATTCCATCTATTTATCTGTTTTATCTGTATTTCCTGTTATCCCAAATAGTATTTGCTACTGACAAAGCACTACCACAATACTCATTAATTGGTTCTGAGAGGCACGATGAGTACCAAAAACAATGAGTGCCAAACAATTTTTTCCCCATAAGGAATAATACAAATAAATTTAATGAATTATCAAACCAAAGACAATGCACATTTTAAGGCAATATGTAAAAATATAGGGTGGTATATCATTACTTTACATGAGAAATAAACCTAAAAATTAATAAATTTTAGATTAAATAAAATAAAAACTCACTTTACTGTACTGATGAGAAAAAAGTGCAAAAATACACAAAATGACCACAGAAGCAAAGATAAGACTGCAAGGGAATGTGCATGATTAATGCATCACCCTTTATTTCAACTGGAAAGGGTAGCAAGTCATGAGGCAACCAACACCGACAAGTTCTAGCTTGCACATTGAGTACCAAACAAACAACAAGTATCAGGACATTTTCTCATCAAAATGCATTGAGTACCCAGTTTGATGAATTTCAAAGCATTTTTGATATGATGATTTATTTAAATGTGTTGTAGGAACATGATTCATAAGCTGTGCTGCTTCCTGAAGAATTGACACTGACACTAATAGATCTTATAATTTAATGTTCTAAAAAAATAGAATGAATACAATCATGGAAATCTCAATAAGAAATTGTAACATTTAATGTTATGCTAAATGAAGGCAGATTAATAAAGAACGGTCACTGAAATCAAATAATATCAGATTTTGATAGCACTGCCCAATTGTCAATCATTGGCTACCCTCAACTGAATTATTAATCAAAAAGAGAAAAACAGCTTTTAGCCTTTTTACTTTCTTTCTCTGGGTGAGCAATAACTGGCCATTGCTTTTTTATCTTTATTTTTTATCTTTTATTGGTTTTATTATAATTTCTTTATTTGATTCAGAGTCATTGAGAGTTAAGAGGCAGACAAGTTTCATAAATTATTATTGACAAGTGAATTGGCAGTAAAGAGATGACCTGCACCCTTGTGAATATGAAGCATTCAAAGTTGAATTAATGTTCCCTGAGCCATGGTTTTGGGTCCCACATTCAGGAAGAGAATTCCCACCACATTTCTCTTTTGCTAATATATATATATATATTTGCTAATATATATATATATTAAGAATACTAGTATTGATATGATTGGAATGGACAGCAGATGCCCTGGGGTGGTGCACGGAAGGGAAGAGGAAAAGGTGCAGAGCGACGAAAGAGTTACACATGAGGGAGGATTGAAGACCGGTATCCTGAATCCACTTAATGCTGAAGCTGCCGATCAAGTAAGGTGTGAGAGAATGCAAGCTAGTAACAAAGGAATGTATGTTAAAGGAGGTAAGCTTGAATTATACTCCAAACAGCTGGGGCCAACGACGCGCTCCAAGAGCCGGAAGCAGATGCTTGATAACAGGACGTTTGATAACGGTATATAAGTCCCCCCCCTTTTACTTGCCTTTTAACCTTGACAATGTCATATGTATTTTGATGAAAGCTAGGTTGATTAATTAAATTCTGTTTAAGTATTCTCTTGGTGATCATTATTTTAACGAATATATATATATATATATATATATATATACACACACACACACACACACACACATGTAGGTCTTTAGTTATTCGGGTTTTCTCCCGCATAGAATTAGAAGTGTCTTGGCGACGTTTCGATGAAGTCACATTCGTCATCTTCAGGCTGGTGTCTTCAGCTTCGTGCTTCTGGGAGTAGTGTGTATGATCGCAGTTGTTTCTTCCTTTTAACTGCCAGTGGGGTTTGAGCTGATTGGGTGGGAGCTTGGCTGTGTTCTAATTGGGTGGAGGTGTGTTCTGATTGGTTAAGGAGCTTGGCTGTGCTCTGATTGGATGGGGGGTTGGCTGTGCTCTGATTGGATGGGGAAGTGTTCTGTTTGGGTGGGGGCTTTGTTGTGCTCAGGTTGAGTTGCAGGGGGATTTGAGCTGGTGAGCTTCATTGCTGTTGTTTGGCTTCAAACTAACCTGAGCACAACAAAGCCCCCACCCAAACAGAACACTTCCCCATCCAATCAGAGCACAGCCAACCCCCCCATCCAATCAGAGCACAGCCAAGCTCCTTAACCAATCAGAACACATCTCCACCCAATCAGAACACAGCCAAGCTCCCACCCAATCAGCTCAAACCCCACTGGCAGTTAAAAGGAAGAAACAACTGCAATCACACACACTACTCCCAGAAGCACGAAACTGAAGACACCAGCCTGAAGATGACGAATGTGACTTCGTCGAAACGTCGCCAAGACACTTCTAATTCTACGCGGGAGAAAACCCGAATAACTAAAGACCTACATACAAACACCCGCGAAAACCTCAGAAAACAAATATACACACATATATATATATACATGTGTGTGTGTGTGTGTGTGTGTGTGTGTGTGTACAACGATATAAAATCCTTGAACTCTGGGAAGGATATAAACCAGCTGTTTATTGTTAAAAGAATAAAAACAATAAAAACAACTATTTACAATTCTAAAAAACAACCTTAGATTTCGCTGGTCCACTGCCAGCGTCATCAGAGTGAGTGTTAGGGTTGGGGAGTTTTCTTATAAACCTTGCTGACTCAGTATCCTGCCCATTGATCATGTGATAGGGCGGTCCATCCTAACTGGCCGTAATTGCCTGAGTTGTCCCGCCTCCCCTCACTTGCATTCGCTTTGCAACTTTCTTTCCTCCCGTTGTTCCTTTCTCTGTCCTTCCCATTCCTGTCAGCCCTACCTTTCCTTGCTGTGCCCCCCCTCCTGGCATATCCATCTGTCCCGCCCGTCCTTCTTGCCCCCAGCAATCCGATGTTATTGCTGCTGGTCTATCTTTCAACTCCCCACCCCTAACATTCACTCTGATGATGCTGGCAGTGGACCAGCGAAAGCTAAGGTTGTTTTTTAGAATTGTAAATAGTTGTTTTTATTGTTTTTATTCTTTTAACAATAAACAGCTGGTTTATATCCTTCCCAGAGTTTGAGGATTTTATATCATTGTACAGATATGCCTGGGATTCATATTTTTATAGTCATTAGGGATATATATACTGTATATATGTGTATGTGTGTGTGTGTGTGTGTGTGTGTGTGTGTAATGGTATAAAGTCCTCAAACTCTGGGATGAATTTAAAACAGCTGTTTATTGTTAAAACAATAGAAACAATAAAAGCAACTATTTACAAACCTAAAACTCGGCTGTCTTAGCTTTCACTGGTCCACTGCCAGAGTCATCAGAGTAAGCGTTTGGGGTGGGGAATTTGCTTATAAACCCAGTTGACTCCGTGCTTTACCCATTGATCGTGTGATGGGGCCACCTGTTCTAACTAACCGTATACACACACACACACACACATACACCAGATACTAGAGAGATAATAAAATAAAATAATAAAACAAAACAAAATAAAATAGAAAGAGGATACAATAATGTCCCTACTCATGAGTCTGAGAAACTAATGCCATCGGGATTGAATTTCTAATGCTATGACAGAGACAGATGCTATGACAGAGGACATAATCTTTATTATTTGTGTTACTGTTTAAACTTTATTATCTCTACATCCAAGTTCACTGTACAGTTCAGCAATTACGTATTTTATGTAATGGGAACCCTTTTTTTAGTGGAGTTATTTCAATAATAGGAGACCTTGTGGTCTGTTCAGAGACTTATATAGGTTTTTCTACTGACCATTGTACCTTGTCCAGAGTCACTTCTCATGAGATGAGCAGTTATACATATTTTATAAATATTGTAAATATGGCTAATAAATAAATACTTGCAATCTATGATTTGAAAAATATGATATTATCATGCCAATGGGTGTTTTACCTGTAAATATTTAAAGCTGAAAATGGATTTTTTTACATTTTTTTTAAAAAAATAAGGATTGTTTTTCTAAATTTTGGTATATATACTGCTGGAGTATATCTGCTATGAACCCTGCATGGTGTCAGGAAGGGCATCTGGCCAGTAAACGCTCAGCTCCATCTAATCGCCCCAACACTCATAAAGAATGGAATTTTCT